AATGTGCGTCATCGATGGTGTTTGTGGCATATCTTGAAAAAATTACCTGAAAAATTGAGAGGATACAAAGAATATGAGGCAATAAAATTTGGTATACAGAATGCAGTTTATGATTCCTTAACAAAAAAGGAGTTTGAAGAAAATTGGAACAAATTGATAGAGAATTATCAACTTGAAGGCAATGAATGGTTATTTGGATTGTTTGAGGATAGACATCAATGGGTACCTGCATTTGTCAAAGATATTTTTTAGGTGGGAATGTCAACCACACAACGAAGTGAAAGCATGTACGCATTCTTTGATGGGTACATCAACTCAAAAACCACTTTGAAACAATTTGTGGAGCAATATGAGAATGCTTTGGCGAAGAAGGTGGAAAATGAAAATGGTGAAGAATTTAATTCTCTCAACTCATACATCCCATGCATAACTCAGTATCCATTTGAGAAGCAATTTCAAAAAGCTTACACTATTGCAAAATTTAAGGAGTTCCAACAGGAGGTTGTAGGACAGCTTCATTGCAATTCATCTTTGTATACACAAGGTCCTGATTTTTCTGTATATGAAGCGAGTGAAGATGTTCCATTTGGAGAGAACCTTCGATTAGCAACTTTCATTGTCGATTTTGATAAGGAAAACTTTGACACAAATTGTAGTTGCCAACTGTTCGAGTTTAGGGGAATAGTGTGTAGGTATCAAATTGTGGTGTTAATGAAAGAAAGGGTTCATAAGATATCAGACAAGTACATTTTAAGAAGATGGAACAAAAATGTGAAAAGGTGCCATAGTAAAGTGATCATCAATTATAACAACTCTTCAATGTTGCCTAAAACACGTCAGTATAATAAAATGTTCAATGTCTTCAATGATGTGGTAGATTTGGCAACTGATTGTGAAAATAGGTGTGATATGGTGGTCGAACAGTTACTTGAACTAAAAGGGAAATTGAAAGAAGAAGTTGAAATTGATTATGAAAATAATAAGTCTAGCTTTGTGAGTAATCATCATAATTCAACCACTCATGGAGATGGTGTTTCGAAGTCAAAGGAGAGTAGAACCATACTTGATCCAGTCGTTTTACGTCAAAAGGGGAGGCCACCATGTAAAAGGAAAAAATCCATGGTTGAAAAAGTTGTTAATAAGAAGAAGAAATGAGCAAAGACTAAGACAAAGACCATCAACATCCGAGGAAGTGTAGAGGTGTGAAAATTATTTGAATGTGTTAATTTACTATTAAAAAAAAAAAACTATTATTTTGTTAACTTTCAAATTTTATATTTTGTAGCAATCCGAGTTTGGTGCATCTTCAAATGTAGGACTTGTTGATCTTAGTACACAAGAGAGTATTCAAGTGAATGTAAGAAATTTATTTTATTCAATAACTTTATAGTTATATGATTTATTTATAGTTGGATTGTCTAATTGCTTCTTATATGGCAGGGATCTGAAATATTGGGTCCAAGTTTGGGGCAACAAAACATATTTCAAGAAAACTTGTCATGCCAAGTACGTAATATTCTAGTATGTATTTATTTACATGGTTTTATGAAAATTTAATATATTTTATTTTTTTGATAGGGGCATCATCATCCATCTCCATCTTCGATATTCGAACATTCAAGTTTCACAAAAATGTTGAATGACATAGTACAATCACAAGCTAACAATCCAGAAGAGGACACAAATGGTAGAAGTTGAAAATGTCTACATGACAGGATTGCTTGGACATTTGTTGGCTTTTTTTTTTTAAAAGTTTATCGAGAATGTTTATATTACATTTTGAGAGACTTGTTTGTTAAAACACAATGATTTTTGTGTTGGATTATATAGTTGAACTATTACATTGAAGCATTATCAATTATTAGAGTTTATTATGGAACATTGAAGTTTTTTTTCATCATGAAATGTGAATTTTTTTTTTTTTTTTTCACATTATGAGTAAATTACCATTAAGAATTTTTTTATTTATTATGAATAAATTTTATTTGTTCTTTAATTTGTGATCTCAACCAAGCCCATTAACAGGTTATGTTTGTCATTAAAAATAAATAAAAAGTCAATGAAGAGTTGCTAGTAACAATATCAATAAGAGCACGACAAAAATAAAGAATTCCATATTCTTCAATGATAATTACAATTCAAAATACAAGACATTCCATTACAATACAAACATAAATATGAAATGGCATTAGTCATATTCTCCAATACTCATTTTATTGCCATTGCAACACAAAATACAAGAGTGTGCTAAATCAACCATTTTAGGATATTAATATTACATTTAATTCCTTTAATATTCAAACTCAATGGATTGTTCTCTACTTCATGAGTGTTGGTAGCCATAAATCTCTGACTGTCATGCTCTTCTTTGGGTTTCATGTTTAATATGTTTGACTGTTATGAGATTGCACCATGCTTAATAAGGTCTTCCTTTGTTTGGCGTCTCGGACTCTGTCATCCAAAGTATTGCAATTACACCGCAATTACATTTTTTACTTTTAAATCTAGTCTTAATGGTTTCATCCCCTATCTCAACCAGTACCAATAGATGTTGATGCTGAACATCTGGGGAAAAAAAAAATTCAAGCAGAAAATTCATAATAAAATTAAACCATTGTTATCTCATAATAATTATGAACATTATGAGGTCATGCTCCATGAGAATTATTCGTCTAGTATTTTTCAACTTTTATAAATTTATGAGAAACAATATTTTTTGATTCTCAGCTTTTATAAATTCATAAATTTTAGAAATCCAAGCAAACATTGACTATAACTAATTATAAATAATTTTTTTTCTTCTTTAGTTTGGCCTTTCTTCAATTAGACATATGTAAAATTAATTATAAGTTTGAATTAAACAACTTAAGACACAATTATAAAACAAAAACTATATAAATTTATAAAAGTTAGTATCATATTACATTTTTTATTATATTTAAATAATATATTCATATATATAATATATAATAAATATATAAAATTCTTATGCTCCACTAATCAAATTACAAATAGAAGACTTGAATAAAACATCACTTTACTTGTTTTTTTAGCTTTTTCCTTTTGTCATTATTCACATGAATGATTTTGTTATTCATCAGTAAGTAATTATATGAATTAACTCCATATATTTAAAATTCAAGGGTTATATCTTCAAATAGTCTATATATTCAATCAGGAATAAAAACCCATTTATTAATCAAGCAGCAAAGAGAGAACCCACTTGGAAGAGTAGTTGAATCATTCTGCAACCTCCTGGAGCCATTTCCTTCCATCTGATCAACCACCCTCTGCAATTCAGTAGCCGAACTTGACGACTTCTCATCATCATCCACAGATCCTATTATCTGGTGGGTTGATGATAAACTCAAAAACCCATTAAGACACTCCATTTACGAACTCCGTCCTTGTCTTTCACCTGATAACACACAAACCCAGAAGGTTTAAAACTCAATTCTCCCCAACCCAGTTGAGGAACAACACTCCCCAGCTTAACAACACGGTTCAAAGCCATCATTGGGTTACCAAAACAATACGATTTTCATCAGGAAAACTGTTTAATTCAAAGCAATTTATAAGAGGAACTCATTAGATAATAAGTGTATGGAAAAAGAATAAACAAACACTTGGGGTAGGACTGGAAGATTTGGTTGAGCAATTTCGTCGAGCAGGTAAGGCACACCAGCAGAGAATTAGGTGAAGAGATGGTATTCAACAAGTTGCAGGAAATGTTTGAACAAAGATAGTGATGTGTAACGACCTCAAAACATTTTAATAGAAGAAAACAGCTACATTCACAGTAAATTAAGTGAAAGAGAGGAGTACCAGTCAACGACGACAAAGACGAGTTCTGAGGAGAAGGTATTCGGATGACGATTATCTTTCCTTCTCTCTCCAGTTCGTTCTGAGAAGAATGACAATAGTGAGAAGGTATTCAACTTTTTCTCTCCAGTCTTTCCAACTTCTCTTTCTTTTTCTTTTTTTTTTAATAATATATGGAAACTCCACCAAGATGAGTTGGTCAATGCCAACTCATTCATGAACCATTTCCTGATAAACATTTCCTAACCCGTAGCATTATTCAAAACGAATATATAAGAACTATCAACATAATTTGTCCAAAAATCAATGTTCGACAAAACTTTACATAGTTAGTTATCATTCTTCAACCAAAGTTTCAATGGCTGATTTTTCAAGTAAACTTCTCGTTTACGCCAAAATGAATTTGAAAAAAAAAATTTAAAATTTGATATTCGGATAAGGGGTCACTGCTGTGCGTGAGCAGTGACTGTGGTGCATCCATTTGAGGTGTATTATGGCCTTATTTTTATGATCCAAACCGTCCATTTTGTAGGGTTTGTTGAGTACTTCATGCCTACCAAAAATCATATTAATCGGATATCAACAACTATATGATCGATAACCAAAAAAAATAAATAATAAGTTTTATTTTGAGAAATAACATAAATAATATGCAATTCGATCATATAGCTGTTGATATCCGATTAATATGATTTTTGGTAAGCATGAGTACTCAACAAACCCTACAAAATGGACGGTTTGGATCATAAAAATAAGACCATAATACACCTCAAATGGATGCACCACAGTCACTGCTGTGCCTCACGCACAGCAGTGACCCCTTATCCTTGATATTCATCTACACATAGAGTTGAACGCGCAGAATCGTAGATCCGCCCAAACCATTTTCAAGCGAAATTAACAATGTTTTGATCACCGGCTGTATGTCATTTTGTTTTTTGCGAATATACAATTTAAATCAATTTAGATAGGGCGACAAGTTCAACACATCAATTGGGCTCAACAATGCAAAATCTGTAATGTTCTTTGCAACTTTGATGCCATTATAGTATCTTTAAGCATATATGTGGAATTTCCATACAACAATAAGAAAGAATTGTCTTCATCTTTTGACATGAAAATAAAATAAAATAAATAAATAAATAAATTGACGAAGATCACAAAACCTCAACCAGCCAAGGTCGGCACTTCAATTTCAAAGCTAGAAAATCAATGTGCGACAAAACTTTACATAGTTATCATTCTTCAACCAACGTTTCAATGGCTGATTTTTGAAGTAAATTTCTCGTTCACGCCAAAATGAATTTGAAAAAAAAAAATTTAAATTTGATATTCGTCTACACATAGAGTTGAACTGGCAGAATCGTAGATCCGCCTAAACCATTTTCAAGCGAAATTAACAATGTTTTGATCACCGGCTGTATGTCATTTTGTTTTTTGCGAATATACAATTTAAATCAATTTAGATAGGGCGACAAGTTCAACACATCAATTGGGCTCAACAATGCAAAATCTGTAATGTTCTTTGCAACTTTGATGCCATTATAGTATCTTTAAGCATATATGTGGAATTTCCATACAACAATAAGAAAGAATTGTCTTCATCTTTTGACATGAAAATAAAATAAAATAAATAAATAAATAAATTGACGAAGGTCACAAAACCTCAACCAGCCAAGGTCGGCACTTCAATTTCAAAGCTAGAAAAAAACATTCGGAAAAATCACAGTTGACAAATTTCCAACCTATTCATCAACCAAAACCTTGTACATGTATAAATAGTCCTAGCTCCCTTGCATACCCATCAAGTTAAACATAATTAAAAAAGATTAATTTGGTCCATAATGGCGATGACACGGTTGCTTTGGCTTCTCTACACATCATTAGTGCTTTCTGCTCTTTCGCTAAATTGCCACTGCAGTGAGATCAAAAAGGTATATATGTAATGCTTTTTCTTTGATCAACATACATATATATGTATAATATGAGTTTTATGTTAAGGTTTGTGTTTTTGATTTTGATTTTGGAATGAATGATTGTAGGTTCATGTTGTGTACATGGGAGAGCGGCCACAAGAAGATGTTTCTGTTGCATCCATGCATCATGCAATGCTGAAAAATGCAATGGGAAGGTTGTTATTAGCACCTAACTAATACCAATATTTATGCATAAATGTAGTGAACAACTATTAATCACCACACTACTAAAACTCAGGATGGGATAAGCCGGATCAGATTTGCCTAAATATCACATTTTGATTATACTTTGGAAAATTATATGTATTTTATTGGATAAATTTTTTGAGCATCTTGAACATTTTACATTTGTTGAATGCTTTTCAAGAATCTTGAGAATTCAAGTTTGTGCAATTGCAGTGCTTCATCTGCAAAAGAGTCGCTTATTTATAGTTATGGAAGGAGCTTTAATGGATTTGCAGCCAAGCTAACAAATGATGAAGTTGCAAAAGTTTCAGGTGAAATATTAAACAAAGAAAAAATGGAATACAAAAAAGCATTGCTTATCTATATATATATATATATGTTCTTTTCATGCTTAGAACATATTTGCAGAAATGGAAGGTGTAATTTCAGTGATTCCAAATCACAAACTGAAGTTGCACACTACAAGGTCTTGGGACTTCATGGGTTTCGGTACAGGCAATGATGGAAATTTACAAGAAGGAGATGTCATCGTTGGAGTTATAGACACCGGTAAATATATGTATATATATATATGAACGTAGCCCATGTCATTGTTCTGCTTTTCTTGTTCTACTTTCGATGCAATTTCATTTTTTGTTTTTATTAATTTGTAGGAATCTGGCCTGAATCTGATAGCTTTAGTGACAAAGATATGAGCCCTCCACCAGCAAAATGGAAAGGGGCATGCCAAGGCGCCAATTTCACCTGCAACAAGTAATTACATTCCTTCTTTCTCCATAGCAATTTGCTTTCGACTTTTTTACCCAATACAATTAACTTTAAAATAGAATTTCCAAATTTAATAAGTTTTAAACATATTTCTCATACTCAAGTTGTTTCATAAAATAAGACTTCGAATTTCTTAAATCACTTAAAGTCGTGCTTTGAAAACATCTCAATAACAATTTCTATGTATATGATAACCATGAATCAACAACACCATTCTTTAAAATGATGAAATGTTTTGTTTTTGGAATCACACAGCAAGATCATCGGAGCTCGATTCTACAATAGCGAAAACTATTATGACAACACTGAGTTCAAATCCCCAAGAGACTCCATTGGACATGGAACCCATACTGCCTCGACTGCCGCAGGCCGGGAGGTGCCTGGAGCGAACTACTTGGGACTGGCCGATGGAATTGCAAGAGGCGGTGTCCCCAATGCAAGGATTGCCGTGTACAAAGTTTGTTGGGATTCAGGGTGTGCTCTTGCAGATATACTTGCAGCATTTGATGATGCAATTGCAGATGGAGTTGACATTATATCAGTTTCCCTTGGAAGTGATTGGCCATACGACTACTTTGAAGACCCTATTGCCATCGGATCTTTCCATGCCATGAAATATGGAATATTAACATCAAACTCTGCGGGGAATTCGGGGCCTTTTGCCGTCACTGTCTCTAACTTCGCGCCTTGGACACTAACAGTCGCTGCCAGCACCATTGACAGGAAATTTGTTTCCCAAGCTGTTCTTGGCAACGGACAAATTTTCAGTGTAAGTTAAAAATTACAGTACCTGATCATTACCTGCGTTGCAACTTATTTTTAGCGATGTTGTATGTAATTAAATTTTCTTGATATCTTGACAAAATGAAGGGTCTCTCTATTAACAACTTTGACCTCAATGGGACATCATATCCATTGATTTGGGGAGGAGATGCAGCAAACTACACCGTTGGCGCTGATCCAGAATCTTCAAGATACTGCATACCTGGTGCTATGAGTTCAGACGAAGTGCAAGGAAAAATTGTCTTCTGTGAGACACTTTGGGATGGTTCTGGGATTCTACTAGCTAATGGAGTGGGAACTGTAATGGCCTATTCATCTATAACTGATTTTGCCTTTAATTACCCATTACCAGCAACAGTTATCAGCACAGAGGATGGCCTCAAAGTTTTGGATTACATCAGATCGACTGAGTAAATGATCTTATTTATATCATTTGAGCTATCTCTGTTATTATTTTGTTCTATTCGGCAAATTTTATATTGTGTTAACAAAATACACTAATCATTTTCAGCAACCCCATTGCAACAATTCTAGTAGGCGAGACTCCGAAGGATGTCATGGCACCTGTTGTCGTCTCATTTTCTTCAAGAGGGCCCAACCCAATGAGTCCAGACATTCTCAAGGTGATGAAACAATTTGTCCATTGTGATTGATCTTCTTCACTTTTGTTTTCAACTGTCTCTAAATGTTGCATATCTTGAACTGCTAATGAATAGCCTGATGTCACTGCCCCTGGAGTCGACATCCTTGCTGCCTGGTCTCCAGTGTCCCCGCCGTCAGTCTATTATGCGGACACCAGGAGTGTCAATTACAACATAATCTCTGGGACCTCCATGTCTTGCCCTCACGCTAGTGGTGCTGCTGCCTATGTCAAAGCTGCCCACCCTGACTGGTCTCCAGCCGCCATTAAATCTGCACTCATGACAACAGGTACGGAAATCACAATACCAAGCTTTACCCTTTACATATTGAATTAGCCTGATAACGAATTCAACATATCCAACTACTTTTCATACTACTCTCTCTCTGTGAGCAGCATATGTTATGGACTCCAGGAAACAAGTAGATCTTGAATTTGCTTATGGGTCTGGTCACATTAACCCATCTGCCGCAGTAAACCCTGGACTAGTCTTTGATGCATCTGAGGCAGATTACATTGACTTCCTTTGCAAAACGGGCTACAACACAACCACGCTAAGACTTGTCACCGGCGACAACAGTACTTGCACTAACACACTACTCGGAAGAGGGTGGGATCTAAACTACCCGTCATTCTCTCTGTATGTTAAAGATGGCGAGCAAATCATGGGCGTTTTCAACAGGACAGTGACCAATGTGGGTGAACCAAATTCAACTTACGTCTCTAGCGTGTACATTCCCACAACTTTCAGTGTCACGGTAGAGCCATCTGTGCTATCATTTTCCGCAGTTGGGGAAAAAAAATCGTTCACAGTGAAGATAACGGGACCAAAGATTTCACAGCAACCAATCATGTCAGGTGCGATTACGTGGAAATATGGAGTCCATGTGGTGAGAACTCCACTTGTGGTTTATAACTATATTCCTGGTGCTCCTTATAACCTTGATGATGGTAGTACTTACTCCATGATTAACAACAAGAAGGCTACCTTCCGAGGTTCTTCCATATATCACAAGAATGGGATCATCGGCTACAACTAATTTGAACTAGATCGCACTCTTGATTCTCAGAGGGAGCTTTTGAGGCAGTTATTGACTGAATAAATTGTTATGTTTTCGAGTTCTTTCAAATTCAAGACCAAGCGATAAAAAATAAAAGAAAAGGGAAGCCTTGTTCTCTAGTTTGCAACCTCTCTTTTTCGGGTATAATAAAACTGATGAGGACAAATGTTATTGCCTCTTAAGTAATGGAATTCATTTGTTCTGTATCTATGTTTGTATGTGTACTCTTTTGTGGGACGTATGTTTTCCTACATTAATTGAATAAATGCACAAGAAAAAAAAATTTATTTTCATTTCATTTCCCACAACTTTTAATGTCACACTTGAGCCATCTGTGCCGTCTTTCTCTCTTATAAGTGAGAGTCATTTAGGTCACTTACCCAAGATTGCTCAGCTAACTTTGTTTTGTCAAAAATTTTAGAAATTACAAATAATTTTACTTAAAATATTAATTGTTCATGTAGTTTTAGAAATTATATCTTACTTTTTTAAATTTTTTCAATTACGTGAAAAATAACTTATTTCATTAATTAATTATTAAGTCAATTAATAATTTTTAATGATATCAAAAATATGTTTCAATTAATAATTTTTGTAATTTTATTGTTTCATAAGAGGGTAGTTAGAACTTCAATTTTTTCTGTTGAACGACAAATTTTAACAAAGAAGTATTTGTAACTTACATAATTACATAGCATAATTTGTATTTTAAGAAAATCTCAAAAAATATATTTGTACAAGGGTCATGTTATAAATGTAGATGATCATATTGGCGATTTATAAATCACAAAGAATAAAATACTTTTTGAACGAATATAAATTGCATCTGGCCTATATTTAAATTTTTTTGGGTTAGTTACAAAAAAATCTAGGGTTTCGTGTGTTTTCAATTTAAACTCCAGAGGTTCAATTTTTACAAATTAAACCTTAAAATTTCATCTGTGTTTCAATATAAACCCTCCGTCTATTTCCGTCTCACTTCATTTTCTTTCTTTTTTTCAGATATAAACCAAGGTTTAGATTCAATATATTTCAATTTTGAGTTTCAATTTTTAGAGTTTGTACGTATGACTAAACCTGTAGATATTTATATAAACATTTGTACATATGACTAAACTTGTATTCACAAGGTTTAGAGTTTCAATTTTTACAAATATATTTCTTTCTTTCTTTTCATCTGTGTTTCAGATTCAAACTTTAGCACAAATGAGATCATGGAAAATTCTAGAAGGCCCTAAAGAAAGAATTCAAGTACATATACACATTTGTACATATGACTAAACTTGTAGATATTTATATAAACATTTCTAGAAAATATTCTAGAATGTTCTTGTAATTTGTAAGAAGACTTTTATGGAAAACTTCTATTTACCACTTTCTTTTGTATTCTAGAATGTTCCTAAGGAGCTTATGAATAGGACATTTGCTCCAATCCATCCAAAAATTGTATAAGTTCCTCTATGGTGAATACAAAGACATTCTTTCATACTCTCATTGTCTTCTTATTTGTCTTTCTTACAAATTTGTAAGTTAGGCTGACTTAGTATCATCAAGTAAGACTTGTGATTGTTTAAGTGCCGCACAAAGTGCTTGGAAATAACCAAGGCTATGACAGCACGCTCGCTTTTGTGGTTACTTTGTAATTCTCACTACCTAAATTGTCGCTTTAATGGTGGATGATAGTATTTTTGATAGTAGCAAACTTGGAAGAGGTTAGTTCAAACAAAAAACCTTGGAAGAGGTTGGGATCTCAAATATCACAGTTCTCACTGTGGCTTTGTGTTCAGTTGTAAAAAAATTTGCGCAAAAAAAATAACTAACCACTGAGTTTCGATTCTCCTGATGGTGAAACTCGTCTGATGTACTAATTTAATAAATAATTATTAACTTTTACCAATAAAATAAATAAATAAATAATATTTCTTTAGCTAGAAAATTGATTAAATGAAAATAGAAATGATTTAGCGCATATAATCTCATATATTAATTTTTTTTGCCCAAAAAAAAAAATTAGGGTTAGTTATGTTTGTCACCCCTATACTTTAATCCAAATTTCATATTAGTCTCTATAGTTTTAATTTAAACAATTGGATCCCTACACTTTAAATATAGTTTCAATTTAGTTTTTCCGTCTAAATTGAAGGTTAAAATTAATAATTTTGAAATATTTGTTAATTTTTTAACGTTTCAATATGGTTCTTTTGTCTAGATTGGTGGTCAAAATTAATAATTTTGAGACTCTTGTCAATTTTCTAAAACGTACACGTAGATAAAATTAACAAAAATTCAGATAGAAAAACCAAATTGAAATTAAACTTAAAGTATAGAGACAAATTGTTTAAATTAAAATTATAAGAATTAAAATAAAATTTAAATCAAATTACTGAGATGAAAAATATAATTAACCTAAAAATTTATTATGGTGAGACATATTTTCCTCCGACAACTAAACACACGTATAAAAAATAAACGATTTTTCTTTTTCCTTTCCTGTGCAGTGACATATACATAAGACAACTAGCATGTAGATTCCCACAACTTTGAGGTTATGTTTGTTTTTACTAAAGCCTCCGTTTGTGAAGTAGGTTGGCTTTTTGGCTTTTTGATTTTTTAGCTTTTTTTGCTATTTTAGTCTGGGCTTAAAAGCTTGGTTTGGGAAGGATTTTTTAGCTTTTTGGCTTTTTTGTGAGAGAAGAATGTAATGATTATGGGTTGGATGTGATATTTTATTTGTTATTGCTAAAATAGCCTATTTTGTTTTTTGTGGCTAAAATAGCCAAAAAAGCCCAAACCATGGCTTCCCAAACGAAGCTTAAAATATTTTGATCAAAAATATTTTACTCATTTTATCTTATTTGATTAAAAAAAGTTAGTAAATATTTTTTAAGAAAAATATTTTTATATCATTTTTTTCAAAATGACTTGCCTCTACAAACTTCGTAAATTTTTACAAAATTAACTCACTTATTATATTTTTAACACATTATCTTTTCAAAAAAGTATTTAGCTCACTAAAAAATATTAAATAACACTTTATTAAATCAGAATTTCTCTTTTAGATAATAAAATTTTTTTGTTTTAAGTATCAACTAAACGCTGAAAAATAAAAACAAAAATATTTTTTTGTGTGTATAAAATAAAATAAAATAAAATAATTTTAATATAAAATATTTTACGTCAAAATAAACTCACCCTTTTAGTTAAAAAGTCAATGTATGGACCTTCTAATTATTGAGAAACCCATCTTGGTGAACTTTTTTAAAAAAATTGACTTTTTAGAAATTTTATTATCTTCTAGTCTTAAAAAAATAAAATTTAAAAAAACAATCCTTACCAAAGACAAATTGTAAAATAAAAAAAATATTGAATCCTCGTTTAACATTAACTTTTTTAAGTGACTTTTTTGTTTTAAGATTTTTTTAATTTGGCTTTTTTAATCTTGTTTGGTTTAACTTTTTTAACTATTTTGATTTTTGTAAGAAAAAAAATATAATAATTATGATTTAAATATAATATTTTATCTTATTGACTTATGTAGCTAATTTTTTCTTTTTTATACTTTTTTAGTCAAAAATCTAAAACAAAACGAAACTTAGGCCCCGTTTTGGAACATGTTATTTTAGTAATTTTTTGACTTTTTAACTAAAATATGAGGTAAAAAAAACTATTATGTTTGGGATGACTTTTTGACTTTTTACGAAAAGATATGCAAAAAATAGAGACAAAAGAGAATCTTTAACCTATTTTGTATAAGTTATTGACTTTTTAATTTTTTTAATAACTTTTTGATTTTTAAGTTAAAATGCTCGCTTGCCAAACGAGGCGTTAAAGCTGCTATGAACTGAATGCTATTCTGTACGGCACAAGAAGGTTCTTTGTCCGTAGTGTACCTTAAATAACCCAAAGCTATAAATAAAACTGAAAGAATAAAAAATAACCCCAAAACTGTGTCTTTTAGGGCACAGCAGCCACCTTTCACAATGATCAAACCTTTTAGGTACAAATGTAATTCACAAAAATTCACATTGATCAAACCATTTGGGCCAACTGTAATTCACAAAAACTATAGTGATGTATGAACCCTAGCAAACATATTGTAGAAGAAAGAAATGAGAATATTTTATAAGAAATCACTTCCAAGTAGTTTATTCATAATCAAGGTAATACAAATACAACATTGAAATACAGAATAGGCAACCATGCGAGATCATATCAACCCGCATGAATTAAATTTAAATAATAGTCACCATGACAAGACCACAAAAAAAGGGAAAAAAAACAAAAAAAACAAAAAAAACAAAGCTCAAACCTGATCAAGCGGCAGGAGTCTTCTGATTTGGCTTGAACACATACTTGATGAGGGATTCCTTAATGGACAAGAGTTCGGGGAATTCCTGCTTCAGTTTGGTGGCATCAAGCTCATTGTTGCTCCTTGGAGCAACTATAACCTTTGCCTGCTCTTCAAGATTAAAGTTCTTCCATGTGAAGTTGGGGTCAATGTAATCACGATACATCTCTAAAATCTCGTTGTGGCTCACCACTCCAGGGTTTGTGAAGTTGTATATTCCAGTGAGGTTCCTCTTTGCCATATCAATAGAAATGGGAAGAAGCTCATCTAAGATTGTCATGGAGTTTGGAATGTCGACAACCTTCTCATATCGAGTGATCTTTGTAATGAAATTGCGGGGATTGGTCAAATCAGATGAGATTGGCATTCTGACACGTAGCGTACAGACATTCTCATAATTATTGAGCAGATCTTCCACCTTTAGAAATCAATTAGAGGAATCAACATCAAAACTAACAATCATTTTCAACTTTCATACATTATTGCACATTCTTTAACATATGGCCAGTAGGATTTAATTACAAGTATTAATAACATAAAAAAGCAGATAAACAGACAGCAATGCTGCTATTTGCTGATCTACACTTGATAGTTGAGATCAAAGTAGATTTGCCTAATCAACATAACAATTCGGGTACATCCACTTGTCTTTATGATAAATGCTCTAGTTTCTTGAATTTGACTTTCTAACACATGAATTTGGCCTCATGTTAGGATTTAAAGGGTTTCACTACAATAGATTACCACAATATCTATATTTTAAAACCAATTAGAAAGCACTAAAGTAAGGTGTTTAAAGGATAAAAAGACCATTATACAAATAGTAGTTGATTCAGTAATACGTTAAAGGCCGAAATTTATATAGGAACTAGGTTACTGGAATGTGGTGTATGTTACTTCCCTTATTAGATTCATTTTCAACACTGGATAACATTAGTCACACAACACAAACGAATGTTTTATATGAAGCATAAACCCACACTGACTCAAACATCTGAGCAAAGTTCAAAAATTGTAAGGCTAATATAATATCCAACATATGATACTTTTAGCTTGTGTTTGATTAGGAGATTTGGAGAGGAATTTAAAAAGGAAAAGAAAAAATGTGTATAAAATTAAGTGAAATGCAAGTATATTTTATTTACATTTCACATATATTTTCCTTTTCCCTTTTCAAATCACTTCTCAAATCTCCAGCGTCACGGCATCGTACAAACCAAGCCAAATTGAGTAAGACCAGCTCAAAACTAAACATGCATTAAATTAAAAATTGAGTTCAGCTTGTAACCCTGATACAGTCTCACAGTAACTTCAAATCAAGTTAATTGGAAACCAATCACAAGTTAATTGGGTTGCCTTGTGATCTTAATTACACAAATTCTTCAAACTAAGTACCCTGCTAAATACACAAATGCTATATTGCTGTAGATTCAAATTAGGTGTAATGTAGATCCCACCTAAAATGAATCTAGTGCACACATTGAATTTCCTGAAACACTATGTATAGCATTCCAATTGCATTATCCGGGCGTTCTAGCTAACAATATCGTCGTGACCTTCCTCCTATGGATTTTCATGACATAACTTGAAAGCAAGAAGACTGCAAATCAGCTCATTTGCAGCTAAAACACACAATCTTATTCGAATAAAAGAAATCCAAAAAGCAAGATCACAGATCTAACACTTTTGATCTTGTAATCATTATATAGATAATCAATACCTAATTGAAGCAATTATAACAAAAATATCAAGAGTATAAACATAGATCTTTAATGAAGCTAGCATAATAATATCAAATTAAATGACAATCAAGCACAACAAATCACAAAAATCCAATCTTTAACACAAATTGCACAAATTAGACTGACCATGGCCTTGGTCTTGGAATAGAAGGATCCGATGAAATTGGGGATATCCTCCTCTTTGAACCCGACGCCGGATCCGAGAGGATGAGCGGAATCGTACTCGAAGATACAGCCGGTGGCGTAGTTGATCAAGATGAGTCCTCTGTCTCTGCAGAGGTCGGCGAGGGTTAGAGTTCCGACGACATTGGTGCGGATGGTCTCGACCTTGTGGGACTCGCACCAGTCCACGTTGGGGCGCCCGGTGACGCCGGCGGCGTTGAAGACGTGGGTGGGATTGATGGAGACGAGGTCGGAGTCGAGGGAGCTCCGGTTCTCGAGACGGCCGGAGCCGTAGACGTAGTCGATTCCTTGGGATTCGCAGAGCTTGCCGAGCAGACCTCCTATCCAGCCGGTGCGGCCGTAGATCAGGAACTTCAGGGGCTTCTCCGATGAGCCGTTGGCTGGGAACCCCATACTCAAATCTAGAAAGAGAGAGAGAGAGAGAGAGAGAGAGAGAGAGAGAGTGGAGAGATGTAGTTACAGGGAGCTACTGTATATGAATATGAAGAGAGAAGAGAGAAGAGAGAAGAGAGAAGAGAGAAATGGATCTGTGTGTGAGAGAAGAGAGATGTAGTAATTGTTCCTGTTATTTGGGCATAAAAAGAGATTAGTAGTGGTAGCTGTTGGGCAAGGATTCTGTCTCCAAATGGGATCTTACTTCTCCCCTGTTTCAGTTGGAAGGGTGGATTTGTTTGGACGGACTGGATAAGGAGATATTAAAATTTATTAAATTATTAATTTTGGGATATATTATTTTTGGATTGTTTGATTGAATTATATTTGTATTTTATATTTATTTAGTTATGGATTAGATGTGAGGTAAAGATTATTTGATTAGGTAAGATAGGAATCCTATGTTTGTTTGGAATATTATAGAGAAAGATAAATGTTTCAAATGACTATTTTCTTATTTTCAATTATTTACTAAGTAATAGTAATATTAAACATATCTTTAATATTTTAATTATTTTTAACTAGATTAAATAAAAATTTATTTTATTTTATTTTTTACACAATTACATAAATTTACTTTTTAAAAAATAAATAATTAAAATGAACAAAATATCTATAAAAAATATGTTATTTTTTTAATTAAAATTCTAAATAAATTTATTTTAAAAAATAATAATAATTAAATAATGAAATTAAATAAAACATCTATTAAAATTTAAATAATGAAATTAAATAAAATATAAACAAAATTTTAAAATAAAACATCAATAAAATATCTAAAAATTAAATAAATAAATAAAACATCAATAAAAATTAAATAAAATTATTTTATTTTTAAATTGAGACATTTAAATTTTATTGAATTTTACTAAATATAATACATAATTAAATAATAAAAGGTTAAAATGATCATTTCACTACCTAATCCCCGATTTGGGGACGCTGCTGCGCAAGGTGCGCAGCAGCATCTGCTGTGCGGTGGAAATAGGCCCATTTTGGGGTCCATTTTGATAATCCGAACTGTTCACATTTTAGAATACATCAAGTAGAACATGTCTGCAAAAAATCAAGTTAATCGGATATCGTTTACCCATTCATCCACTCACATTTTTATCTACAAAAATAAATAATAATTGTGATTTAAAGTATTAAAATGAATACAAATGTGAGTAGATGAATAGGTAAACGATATCCAATGAACTTGATTTTTTGCAAGCATATTCTACTTGATGTTTTCTAAAATGTGAACGGTTCGGATTATCAAAATAGACTCCGAAATGGGCCCATTTCTGCACACAACAAATGTTGTTGCACATCCCGCGCAACAGCATCCCCCAGCTCCCTAATCCCATATCCCCTTATCTCTCCATTTGTGTCCCAACCCCCCCATGGGACACAATAGTCCAATGAATTTGGGATTGATAGTTCGGTGTCAAAATTTTGAACCAAATAATGGATTATTAATTCAGATGGACTAATAGTCCAATCCTATCTTTCAATCCCTCAAAACAAAAACCACATAACTGTATTAGATAATTAAAATTGTGTATTGACAAGAATCATTAAATGATGATTTTTATCCGTGAGAGTTTGTAAGAATATAATTTAATTAATTTTTTTTTAAAAAAAATTACTAATAAAAGTATGTGTTTAATAATTTTTATCGATAAAAAATTATTTGACTCAATTAAAAGTTTAACGGGAGAGAAATCATTCTCTTTGGAATAACCCCTTCCCCATGAAATAGGATCTGTTGGTCTTGTTATTGTTGTAATCCAATCATTACATCCATATTTAAAGTTAAAAGTGAAATTATGTTGTTTTATAGTATGTTATTTTAGGTTATTTTGGAAACTGTTTTGCTTATTAGGAAAAAATATATGTAAGAAAATAGAAAAATTATATAATTTAAATAAGTAAAAAAAATTAATAAATTAATTTATAAGTCACTTCTCAAAAAGACTTTTATTCTAGTTTTTAATTTCAACAATTGTGTTATGTATTTTATTGACATGTCTCTATATGATAAATTGTATAAAAAGATGTGAAAATCACTACCCAGTGTAAAAAAAAAAAAATACATAAATATGAAGAGGCGCAAGTCAAAGCGCTGTTTGGAAAGTTTGACCTTATTTTTTTTTATTAAAAGATAAATTGATTACAAAATAAAAAAAAAATTAATTTAAACAAAATATCATATCAAACTTCATAATCATTTTACTTTTTATCTCACAAATATCACGTCCAATCACAAAAAAATTTAATTATCTTTCCAAACATAAAAAAAAAATTCTCTAATAATATCTTACAATTAAAAAAAGGAAAATTTACCCATAAGTCCTAGTTTTTGAAACGTTGAACCATTAAGTCCTAAAAGTTTTCTTATGCTCCATTTAGTCCCATTTTTACATCAACATGATGTGAATGATGTAAATGATCTGATGTTTCATTCTATAATTTCAAAATTTATTGAAATCTGATGAACATTAGATGTTTTTCATCCTATATTTTCAAACATTATTGAAATTTGATGAACATTAGATGTTTGAAATCCAATGTTTGTAACATGACTCTGATGTTATTAACATTGTATCTGATGTTATTAACATTGTAATGGGACCATTCAGTCTATAAGAAAACTTTTAGGACTAAACAGTGCATAAGTTATTAATTTGGGATTTATTGGTGCATCCCCCATAAAAAAACCTACAAAAAAAATTCACTTCCCAAACACCCACAAAGTTGCATTCCCAAAAAAAAATTAAATTGTATCCCATCACAAGATGACTTGTATCCATCATATTTGTATTAAAAAAAAAAAATTTGTCTTACTGTTGAATAATTCTCCCGAAAAGTCATTATAAAGAATCATGACCTAAAAAAAAATTAGACTTTAGTATTATGAACAAAATGTTTCAGAAACGTTTTTTATTTATATTTACAAAAATTTTATAAATTAATTTTTGTTTATTTTTAGAAAAATATAAATTACAAACGCATTTAATTTGAATAAAATGTTTAAAAAAATTTAAAAATATAAACTAAAAAATATGTTTGTTCAATCCTAAAATATTTATTGTTATTTTTTATTATTTATGACAATGGGATCATACACATTATAATTGGAAAAAAAAATTATTAAAAAATTAATTGAAAAAAAATTGTTTGAAAAAAAATATTTGTTAGTCAAATTTTTAAATTTCTGTTTAAAAACCAACGTAAACTCATTTTTTGAGTTTATATTTTTTCCTCAAATTTATAAACAGAAACAATCATTTATAAATTAAAAAAATTATCAAACAAATTTTTATAATATTTTTTAAGTTTTTATAAATATAAATTAAAAACTGAAAACGAAATAATTTTACCAAACAGGTCCCAAATAACCCCAATTTGATAGATAACAATGTGATATATTAGAAATCAATTTTTAATTTATTGCATACTCAATTTTGTAAGTTCTAATATCTTTGTCACATAATTATGGTTGAATTTATAGTGTCAATTGTAACATATCATCAATAGTGTTTTCGTTTACTTATTATAGGTTTATGAAAAAAATTGTGATTTTAATTAGGGTAAATTATCAATAAGTCATAATAATTAGAGTTAATTTCCATCAAATACTAAAAATAAGTCCTGATAAAATAGTCGTTTAAAATAATTTTTTGTAATGATTTTTTTACATGTCACTAAAAATTGACTATTAGTGACTTTTTTGTCATGATTTTCATAAATTGTCGTTAAACTTACAATTAGTGACATTTTTCTGTGATAATTTTTTCAAACTATCACTGAAAGTTAAAAATCAGTGACTGTGAGAGAGATTTATAATCTGGCTTTAGGCCATGGTAGAAGCTGGACGGATAGGACCGAGCATGTTAGGCCGAGCTAATTTGGGCCAGTCCAGAGTGGATTTTGCCCGGTTGAGGCTCGGACCCCCTGTTTAGGCCGAGCGGACTGAGGCCTCCCTAGAGTTGATCTTGCTCGGTCGAGGCTTAGGCCCGAGGTCCAGGTCCAATGTTTGAACCGAGCTTACTTGGCCGAGATGACCGCCTGCTAACCCGGGTTCCATGGGTCGCACGCGTAGCCCGACAGGAAACGTCTTCTGTTCATCGGCCGACCTATCTTGAACTCGGCTCTGCCGGAATGCTTCCAAGCTCGGCTGTTATGGAGCTCGGCGAGTGGAGCACTCAAGCACGTTACGCAGCACGGTCATGGGAAGCCGAGGTGATGCCGCCGGGATGCCGAGCTCCCGCTAATGTAGTCTGGTGGTATGGTTAGGTGGTGATTGCTGAATTTATGCTGACAGATAGGAAAGTAGCTCCACATGTCAAGAGACCAATAGGAGTAGATTTGAGCGCAGAAAGTATATAAGCAAGACTGCGCCCCCATGCTGAGGATGAAACATAATTTGGTAAGAAAAACCTAAACACTCAAGTCTCTCCTCTCTCGCTCTATCCCTGAGTGTGTGCTAACTTGACCGTCGGAGCGATTTTCCGGCTACACATCGCTGGATAGCTCACCGCCATTGTGTTCGCAGGTCGATCGGACAGATGAGGAGCTTGGACGAAAGGAGTACGGGCACTGCAGAATATTTGCTCCCTATACAATTGGCGCTGTCTGTGGGAAGTTTGATAGATAAAATACCGTTGTCTGCCATCGACGATGTTACCCCGGAGTCAGCCAGACTAGATAAAATACCGTTGTCTGCCATCGACGATGTTACCCCGGAGTCAGCCAGACGAAGAGACGGACTCCCCGCCGTTTCCAAACATGGCGGGCCTGGAGACTTCCCCAGGAGGATATTCAAGAGACGTGTGGGATAAGCATGGTAGAAGTTTTGGTAACTCTCAGAGCCCAGATGGGCACCGGCGGCGAAGAGAATCGCACGCTAGGCGTCCGGAGCACAAGTTAAGGGACCAAGACACTGTCATATGGAGAATGGCGGTGGAGATGGAAGATCTCAAACAGCATGTCAAAGGGAAGGATATTGCTGGAGTGGGAGACCACAGTGAGCGCACCCAACCATGCCGTTCAGGCAATCAGAGCCAGCGGCACACTCCCTCCCTTTCTATCACCAGAAGCTACAGGGTTGGAGAATCCAACGCGCTTGTAGAGAAGTCTAGCGCGCAAGATAGTACCTAT